CTTTCAGCTTGGAATCCTGGCTTCAACTTGTATTGACTCCAGCAGCTGTCCCCCTTCCATTAATCACCATCATCATCGGCGGCAGCAGCCATCTCTTTCTATCCCTGGTCTTCATTGAGTTGGAACAGCATCTCATGAGAAACGTGTTGTAACATCCCCTTTTACAGATGGGGAAATGGAGGGTCGGAGGGAGGTAGGGTCGCCTGCGCAAGGTCGCTCGGCTGCAGGCAGCAGAGCTTGTGTTCCAGCCCAGGTGCCCTGGGGACAAACTCTTCTCTGGCCAGGAAAGCCGGTCTGTAAGCCCCTGGCGGTGAGATCAATGCTCCCATCCTTTTTCCAGTCCGTCCTGTGTGGCTTCAGGCCTGGGAGCACAGGGAGGGGCTTCCTGCCCCTGGATCCTAACCCTGCCCACCCACGGTTCCTACACGCATCTCCCAGAGCCCTCTGCCTCTCCATCCCCGCCTGCTCGCTATGAGTGCCACCTCGGGCCAGGCGCTGCATCATCAGGCAGAAAAGGCAATATTTTACCTTTGAGTGGCTTGCGGTCTAGCCAGGGGCAGCGCTCACTTTCACTGTCCTCCCAGGACCATCCTGGGTCATGGTCAATGGCCCTAAGACTCCCCGCCCTGGCCAGCTTCCCCCCAGATCCCTGCAGGGGACTCTTGTGCAGGCAGGGCTCTGGGTCAGGGCTGTGCCAAGGAACTGCTCGGGAGCGCGCCTAGTAGCATCCATAAACCTTCCAAGGAGACCAGGCTTGTCTGGCTGTGAGGCCGGGGAGAGGGAGCAGGGACGTGCCCAGGTAACAGAAAGGTACCTACACTGCTCGGTTTGCAAACACCAAGACCTCCGAATCCTCCCGGTGCCCTGCAAATGAGGTGTGACGATGGCCCACTTTACAGACATGGAAACTGAGGCTCCCTGAGGTCGCACGGTGAGTGAGCAGCATTGTAGGCCTGGCAGGTCAGCTCCCTGCTCTGGGCCTCAGTTTCCCTGTTAGGAAACCAGGAGATTCCGCTCATGTAGCCACTCAACAGACATGGCAGATGGCGTGCCGGCCCTGGGAAGTGGGGGATCCAGAGCACCCGCTGCCGACCCCTCACAGAGCTGAGGGCTCATTCCCTCAGACCGGAAGAGTTGCGACCGTGTCCAGGTTAAACTCTGCTTGAGTCCCGAGGCCACAGGCGGAGGCACGGGAATGACAGCATCCGGGCAAGAAGCGCTGGGTGCCGGGAGGCCGGAGGTGTGGGCTGGGGTCTCCCTGGCTCGGGGCCTAGGCTCCCTTATCTGCATAATGTCTGTGCACCTGTCTTGCCTCTATCCCAGGTTGTTGTGAGCTTCTGGCAGTGGCTGCTCAGAGGGTACTGGGGGATGGCAAAGGGTGCCCAGACCCGGGCTCTGGGGATAGGACCCTCTCCCCCAGCCCTGGCCCTGGCCCAGCTCCGGCCTGTGCCTCTGGGGACAGCAAGAGGCAGGAAGGGCCCTGGTGCCTCGGGAAGCAGCCTCTGTGGCCGTAGCACACTCCCTCTGGGCTCGCTCTGTGTATGTCTCACTCCTCCTGTCTCTCCCTCTCCCTCTCTCGCCCTCTCTCTCTCCTGCTTCACTCTGTGTCTCTTGCTGCCCCTGGGTCTCCCCGCCTTGAGCCCTCTTCTCACTTCCTCTCCGCAGAGGCCCCTGGAGAAGCCGGATGGCCTGGACGTGTCCGACCAGAGCAAGGAGCACCCCCAGCACCTGTGCGAGAAGTGCAAGGTGCTGGGCTACTACTGCCGCCGAGTGCAATGACCGCCCGCCGCCTCTGCCAGCCAGAGAAGACCCGCCGTGTTCGTCCATGTTGCTGCGTGTCCCATGTGTGTGGGGGTGTCCTCACAGGCATGCGGGTCTGAGCAGGGGGTCTTAGGTTCTTGTGTCATGTGTGTTGACAAACAGTGTTACTGACATAGCTGCCCCGCAGAAGGCGGGGTCTCTGGGACTCTCCAGGTGGGCTGAGTCTGTGGGGGGACTGGGGGCGAGCAGGGGTGGATGCACAGGACCCACAAAGCCCTCGGGGTCCCCTGCAGGCTCTCCTCCTCTGAGACCCCTTTGGTGAGCAGCCTTGCATTGGCCACAAGTGCACTAAATTTACTGTGAATCCCAAAGCCTGTGGGGGTTGTCTCCCCAAGACCAGCCGCGCCTTCTCCTCCCCGGGGCCTTCCAGGCTGCCCGGTGCGCACAGCGCCCTCACAAAGCCCCGTTTCTGTGTCCCGTTCAGGTCAGCAGCCATGGCAAGCTGAGGCCTGGTCGAGCGGCTGCTGGGAGTGAGCCTCTCTGCCCCTTGCCCACTTTGAGCCCCAAACCTGACTGCCTCTGATGTCACTGGTATTACACCCGGGTTCTGCACCGCCCTCCCCAAAGACCCAGAGGTCAGGGATGGGGCGGCAGTGAATGTCGGACAGAGTCCCAAGGGGTGGCCTGGGGCACACCAGGCATCACCTCCCCCACCACACACTTTCCCCACGTGCTCGGGTTTGTCACCTTCCCTTCTTCAGCTCCCACCCCCAGCCCATCCCCGATGGAGGTGGTAGGGCCATGCGGCAGCCACTGTGGCAGGAAGGGCACGGGCCCGGCAGGCTGGAGACCTCTGTTCAAGTGCTGGCCCTGCCACTGACAAAGTATGGAACCTGGGGAGGACTTTGAGTCTCTGGGCCTCAGTTTCCCCATTAGGTCAGTGAGTGACACTAGTAAGCGGGGGACGGGGGGCCGCCTCCTGGGCACAGGACTGAATTTGGAGTGTCACCAGGTCCCGCACTCACACTCCCATCAGTCCATCACTGCAGTCAAGCCAAGGGTGCCAGCCCCAGCCCTGCCTGTGGTCCCCACCCCTGCAAAAGTGAAGGAGAAGGGTCCCCCTCCACCTCGCACGGGGCAGCCCCAAGCCACGCTGCAGAACCCTTCCCCCGGGGGAGCAGGGAGACACTGTCCGGCAGCGGGAGGATCACCCTCTTCAGGGAGGAGCCTGTTTCTATTGTCCTGCGTCCTTCCTTTCTCCCAGGAACAGGGAGAAAGCTGGTTGGCAGGACCGACTCACTTGATTTTGCCCCAACATGATGCCTCTGTGGGAAAAAGTCAGACCACGAAATGGGCCTGAAATCCAGTGTTTACCGCGGCTCAGGGACACCCAGCCGGGGTCCAGTGCCTTTGTTTTCAAATGAAAGTGTTTGTACAGCTGAGGAGTTACAGTCAAGTTAACCAGGAGTCCAGGGAGCAAGTGGAGAAGATGGAGTGAGTGTGTTTGAAGCCAGGGGGGGCTGCAGAGGAGATTTCAGGGGGTCGCGACCTCTGAGCACTTAAAAGGGGGGTATTTGCTCCAACCTGAGCCCCAAAGCTGCCTCCCTCCTACCCACAGCAGCCATGCCTGGCCGCTGGCTGTGGCCACCCTCCCACTCACTGGGAATGCCACGGTGGAGTCCCTGCCCAGCTGTTTCCGGCTGTCCCCACCAGCCCGGGTGAGCGGAGTCGCCCTGGCTGGAGGCACTGTGCCCGAGGAGAAGCTGTCACTGCCAGTCATCCTCGTGCGCAGCCACAGGTAATGCTCCCAGTGGTGGGCAGTGTGCTTGCCCGCTGCCAGCACCCGGCCCCAACTCTCCCAGGGACCTGGCCCCACAGTGGGACCCACCAAGTCTGCTGCAGAGGTGGGGGAGCCCGTACCCTAAAAGAACCGGGACCCCAGGCTGCCGGAGGCCAGGGCCTTCCACGGGCCACAGGAGATGGGCTATCACCCCAAAGTGACTTCCCCATGGGCTTGTCCAGCTGGCAGCCATTGCCCCTGCCATCTGTGCCCAGCTGGCCACGGGGGGCTGGGCCCTCTGCACCCCTACCCCCTCCTGTATTGTTCTGGCAGAACTTGGTCAGCAAAAGCCTCTGATCCCAGGCTGGCTGCTGTGGGAATGGAGTGCTCAGAGGCCTGGGAGCCCAGGGAACGAGCAAGTGTGTGGTTTATACGTTCAAAAGGGACAATCGCTTGCAGTTAGTAGGTCTAGTGATGTAGCTGGGAGAGAACAGTGTTTACCCCATTTGAAGTATTCAGTAGCTCTACTTGTGAATTTGTATTTATTTTGAGTTATACTTGACACAGAATTCCTTTTTTAAAAGAAAAAATACTATTTGTGTATTTTGAAAAAAAATCATAGATGTTAAAATTTCTGCATAGTTACCAATTATCCTCACAACACTGAATTTGTTACCTTCTCCTGAAAAATCCTCACCGTGATTTTTGTCTGTATATATTTGAAGGCCTTTTTAAAAAAAGAAAAGAAAAGAAAAAAATAATTGTTTGATTTTTGACATAAAAAACAAACAAACAAAAAGAGGCATTTTCAAAACTTCAGAGCTTTCGGGAGGGCAATAGAATATCAAACAAAATGTCTGGAAGTATTTTGCAAACCTTCTTGTTGAGGTGCGAGAAAATATTTATGGTGAGAACTTTTCCCTCCTGGGGTTTTTTCGTTTGATTTTTTTTTTTTTTTTTTTACTATACTTTGGTCTGTAAAAAGTATGCAGCTGAACTACATTAAGAAGGAAATATTGTCTCCATAGAATATTTTATGAAGTTGGTACATAATTCTGACGAGGAAAAAAAAACACCTTTGCAATTCTTTAAGCCATATTGTTGCTCTTCTGTGTTGTTTTCCTTGGATGAAAATATCAGTATTAAGTAGCCTGCATTTACCCCAGTGCTTGGACTCAGTGGTATGTGTCTGTCCTGTATTTATACATATGTGTATCTGGAAAGTATTGCCTTTTTAAGGGAAGCTGTTCTTAGGTATGTAGTGAAAGGGGGATGGTGACCCCTTTGAGCCTCCTCAGCTGAGGATAACAAACAGCATTGTAATCCGTTCCCTTGCACCTTCTTATTATTCTCTCGTTATTATGGTTACTAGTTTAGTAGGGGGCAAGGAGGTGGGCTAGGGGAGGAAGGGGCATGTGACTAACTGGCCCCCTGTGGCCTTGGCCTGGGGAAGGCCCGGGCAGCAGGGCCCCGGAGGGCTGGCGAGAGGAAGGGAGGCAGTCTTCACACCCCTCAGGGTGGCCGTCTGAGCCATGCCTCGGAGCCCCAGGCTCTTCAAACTTGGATTTGTCAGCCAGAGCCCTCACTTGCCCTCCAACGTCTAATAGACTTGAGCCTATTCTATGTGAGTATTTAACCAACATCACTACATTGTAGCCCAGCGCAACAACTAACCCTGACGTGCGGGAGGCGTCCCCGGGGCTGGTGGCAGTGGGCTTGCTGCTCTCCGCTGCCGGCCTCACCGCTCACCTCCACTCCCGTGGGGTGACCTGTCCGTGTCTGTATCCATTAGCGCGTGTGTGTCCAGCTAAAGAGACAAATGGCCCGTGGGCCCAGCTCGGAGAGCGCGGCAAGGCTCCTGACTCTCCGAGGGTCGCCCTCGGGATGGCATTCCGTTGTGTGCCTTATTCCTGGAGAACCTGTATGCGGCTTGCCCCTAGAAACATAGTCTTTTCCTGCGGCATTAAAGGACTTTAAAGGCCGGAGCGGCTCGTGGCTTTCCTTGTTTACACAGACGTCAGTGGGGAGCTGGGCGCTTTCGCAGATTCTGGGTCGAGGGAGAGGGAGGGACTTGCAGCCCACCTCTGCTCTCCCGGGCCTGGGTCCACCGTCCTGTCCTGCCTCCACCCACTGAGGTGCCTCCTCCCAGCCCCTCTGCCCCAAGGGGACACTCTCTCCGGGCGAGAGCCCTCCCCAAGTCGGGCGAGATTGTCGGCACATTAGGTCACACGTTAGCTGGGCGATGGGACTCCCGGTGACCATATATAGGAGCGAATCTTCCCCGGAGCAGAGCCGGCGGGCGCCCTGGGCCCTGCGCCCCGCTCACACTGGCCCTCGCGCCAAGGCTGGGGTGGGGGCCTCTGACGCTGGGCACCCCAGTCCGCAGAGCGCCGTGTGTCCCGGCCTCCTGGGGAGTCAGGCAAAGGAACGAGGGTCCCTCTTCTGAGCAAGCCCCAGAGGGGCTGGGCTGTCACATGGTGGGCTTTGCTGGGGCCACAGACAGGAAGCCAAGCTCAGCAGCTCGGGAGCCGCGCTAAGCGACCTGCATGCGGAGTCTCCGGCCCAGGATCAGACACTGCGCATCCCCAGCCTTGCCGCTCACAGAAGCACCTACGGGGCCTTGTTCTCACCGGAGACCCTGCGATACCGGCCTGGACATGTCCTCAGGTTCTTAAAGCCCCGGTCAGTCCGACGGGCACGGCTGAGGAGCACCGGGCTTTGCCGTGGTCCATCGTGGTCCCGTGGGGGTGACGGTGACATCCTGCAGAGGCAGGTGGGCAGGGCAGCCTCACTGGGGGGCATCGCACCCTGGGCTCCAGCCAGTGGTGCCGCGAGTGTACTGCCCAGAGTGTGTGGTGGGGGGGAGGGAGGCTGGAAATGCAGGTTCTTGTGTGAAATGGTCCGTTTTAATTTTGGCAACTAGTTTGCTAAATATTTATGTAGTGTACAGATCACACCATGTCTGCGGGCCAGCTCCTGAGTTCAGCCTCTGAGATGGGGCAGAGAAACAAGATGTGAGGCCTTGGGATAGGGGAGGCGGCAGGGGCAGGAACAGAGACCCCCCCCACACACACTCCGGAGCAGGACCCCTTGTCTCCCTTGGGGTGCACAGCGAGTCTGGAAGCCACCAGCCCTTTCCTGCTTATGGGCACAAAGGGAGGACACGCCTCTGCGGCCTCCCCTCGGGCGTGTGCAAGGCGCTGGGCCAGGTCTGAAGGCAGGTGGCGTCAGCGGGCCA